TGATAAATTTGCTAATTTAACAAATTATATTTTATTTAATCTATTTATAACAAATATAATAAATTTTATCATCTGTTTGAATAATAAAAATAAAATATTTTTTATACTAGTATATGAAGAGTATTTATGATAAAAACAAAAAAATATTAATTAGTCCATAATAAATATGATAAGTTAATTGTTTGTATTTTTTTATAAGTCTAATTTTTACCAATAATTAATACAATAATAAATTTATAGGTATAAATTATAACACGTGTGCATATATTTGGACTAAATATATTTTATTCAATTATATTAGATTATATTTAACCCATTTTTTATGTTTTATATCTATAATAATTTAGTGCATAGATATTAATTTATTGTATATTTTATACGATATATTGTGTTTGGATAAGTAAATGAAAAAAAATTATCAATGATTTTTTTTGAAATGATATAATTAATCATTTTAAAATATCGTTTGTCAATTAGTTTATAGATTAAGTATATTTTTAATAAGTGAAATGCAATTTATTTGAAAAATCAGCACTTTTCTAGACATTAATAAATAATAATAATTTTATAAATATTAAGGATATATTATAAATAAAATAAATAAGTTTTATATTTGTACGGAAATAAGTTTTTGTATAAAAAAACAATCTGTCATAAAACTAATCTAATGTTAACTTAATTGCTGCGACAGTTACTCTTAATGTCTTATATTGAAATATAATTAAATATTATTTAACATTGTATTCAAATTAGCTTAAATCTTTAATCTCGTAATGCAATTATAGATTTCATTGTATTATTAGTTATTATGACTTATTTTAGTTTAGCATAAATCTAATTAATTTAATACAACCACTAATAATAAAAAGTATTAATACAATGCAAATACTGTACTCTATGAACAACTACTATATTTTGAAATGTCTGATAAAATACATATTAAAAAACATATCAAAATTAATAATAATTAATTAAACATTTGTATGAATACTAAGATAAATATAATTTATATGCCATTTAAATTAAAATAAATATTTTTATTTATATCAAAAAAATCGCATGCATTAGACAAGTGAATCATACAATAACTAAATTAGACTATCATTTCATAACAGTAAGCATAACAACAGTTACTATAAAAAACAAAATATTATCCGATGTTTGGCTTAGTTTTAGAAATAAAAACTTATTATTAGTAACTTTTACCGAATGTATTAATTATTTGTGTGTAATATAAATTTATGAGTGTTTATGTTATTATAATTATGATAAAAAATTTATGATAAATAATAAAAATTATCTACTGATAGAACCTTGGTTATTGGTTTTAGTTGATAATCATAAAAAATAAAATAAAATCATAGATTGTGTCTATGAACTCACAGGTAGGTAAAGGTACTGTACATCAATTTATATTAGTATTTATTAAAAAATAATACTATATGTTAATTAAATTTTACACATTATTTTTTATATATTGTATATATAGACTAATAAATGTTTTTAAATATTTTAAATTTAATTTTAGAGCAACTAATAAAATTAAAAAAGATATTAATATAAATATTACTATATATGAGACCATATTTGAAGTGATTTATTATATCGAAAGATACGATAAAATAGTATTATATTAATAATTAAAATTTTGTTTGCATTGAGATTAATGTATATAAAAAATATCAAAAAAATGATAAAACATTTGCAAATTATGTCACAAATACTACTGTATTATACTTTCAATGATTGTTGTCTCAAAACTTTAAGAAAGTTTGCTAATCATTGACAGTATTACTAAATGATTAATATTAAACAAAAATATTTTTGCATTCAATTTCAACAATCAATTTAATGTTTTAGAAAAATAAATATAAATATTATTGAATTTACAGATAAAGTCATACATTATGTTTGGGTTTGGCATACGTGAGGAGTGACCACAACAACAATGTTATTGTCAATAGTAATGCATTGATAGACATACTGTACTACAGTATACAGTAGTATAGTATAATAATTTACAGTACATATCGTATACGTGATTACATACACATCAACACATAAACAACATTTCACAACAACATTAGACATGTAATTCAAATGAACTATTAGGTCATTCTAAACCAAACCAAACTATTTTTTAAATTAAATTCAAGTTTTAGATAAATTTGTTAATCAAATAATGAAAATTATTTTTAAAAATGATAAAACTTAGAAATAAATATTTTAAAAAATAAGTACAATTAAGATAGATATTGGTTCCGGGTTTGTCACAAATGTAACGGTTTTGGACTCCCGTAATACACTATACTCTAGTTGTTATCCGAGTATTCAATATAATATGTACAGTACTGTACAATACATACAATACAACTACATGTATATAATCATGTAATGTAATGTACAGTAATATCACTGTATAGTATGTATACAAACATTGAATATTCACTTAAGAAACAGTCCCTACAATTGATGCCTTTATTGGTATAAAAGCTGAATGTGTTTACAGTCGAGACTCTAATATCTATTAAAATATTCAATAAAAGTGATCATAATTTTGATGACAAACCATATCTTTATCACTGGTTTACCATCTGTTGGAAAGACAACACTCATTAAGAAAGTTATTGATATTATTGAAGACAAATATAGTCACAGATTTACTGTCAAAGGTTTTTACACTCAAGAAGTCAGATCTGGTAATTGATTTTACAATTGATTTTCATATCTGATTGGTGTTTGAATTGCATTACTGACCAAAAAGTTATTGTATTTGTTGTATACCATCGATGAATAGCAACTGAAGAAAGGATTGGCTTTGATATCATTGATATAACTAATCCATTAAATCGCAAACAATTGGCTCGCATTGACTTCAATAGTGGTCCCAAAGTTGGCAAATATTTTGTTGATTTGCATTCATTTGAATCAATTGCTATACCGTTGCTGAATATATCCAAAGAGGAGATTGAATTGTTGGACAAATCAAATAAACAGATGATTCTAGTGATCGACGAAATCGGAAAAATGGAAACATTTAGTGATGTGTTTCGTAAAAGTGTGCGACAAATGTTTGACAACGAAGTGACAACAAAGTCATACAGAATTATGGCAACACTTCCCGTCAAACGTAATGTACAATTGGCTGAAGATTTAAGAAGAAGATCGGGAAGCGATGAGATTCACATCAATCGTTCAAATCGCAACTCTATGGCTGACAGAGTGGTCAATATGTTGTGCGAGAATGCCATCCGATAAATGGCTCATCACTTGCACTTCATATCCATCTATTGCTATCATTTTGTACATTACTCTTGTATTTAATCTTTCATTTAATATAACATGTATTAACTATTTGATTGATTGTATTTGTATATATAATTATCAAACAATCTTTATATTATAATTTGTATTATAAATTGAATCCTTATGTAAATATTTGATAMGATATTACAMAWAACAATATTTATTATTATTATTAATATTTGTTTATTTTATCTAATTCTTGATTTTCCTATAATTTGTTTGAATAGTAATATTTCAGTAATATTATCAAAAAAATAACAATTTTATAAATAATATTTACAAATATTAATAAAATATATTTAAACATAAATATGGGAAGTTTTTTCAAATTAAAATAAAATATGTTTTCAAACATTTAATTACTCGAAATGTTATATTGATTTGAATTTTGATAGTTTTGTTTTGAAAAAATTTAATATAAAATGTGTGACTTATTTGCAATGAATGTTCTGTAATATAATATGCAAATTCTTTTTATATACTGTAGTATTAAATCAATTTAATTATAGGAAAATATAGTACAGTATATTTCACATGTTATTTGTCACTACTTTAACAAACACATTGAAATTATATAACATTTAATAAAAAAAACAATATTTTAGAGAAGCGATAATTTTACTCTACTCTATAATTTAACTAATATTAGCTAACATTTACATTAAATTACTGTCTAATGGTTTTGTTTTCATTTTCATTTGCCAATACATATTCTGTTTAATTATTTTCCTTTAATTTGTTTACAACATTTTCAAGAGAACCGGTTATGTTATGGTTATGTTATGAGGTATATCACCCAATTCAAGGATAACTACAAGGATAGGACAAACAGGACAGGTATGCCATCGTCGATGTGTTTCAAAACAAACTCGTTTTCATTATTCTTGATTAATAAATTTTACTGAAAAATAAAGTGAAAAATCCATTTAACACAACTTTTTTTTGATAATTTATAAGATATAGGGATATCGTTGAGTCAAATATAAATATTGAAAAACCACTTGAATATAATGCATACTTTTAATGAAAATAAAAATAACTTATTTAAATGTCTAATAGACATTAATATTAATAAAATATTGTATATATTTACAATAAAAATGTCATGTTTTGTTATTTTTTAAACTTTATAAATATTTTTTAGAGTTTAGTGTTTATTTAAAATTAAAGTTGTATTAGTAAATTAAATGCAAAATACTGTATTTATTAGATTAGTTTTTCATACTCATTGAAAATCATAGGTTCTGTATGTTTGGATAGTTTTGTTTATCTTTAGTAATAATAAATGTCCTCAAAATGTTGATCATAATAAATATTTTGATTATAAAATGAGATATAAAGTTAACTTCAAATAAATGCTATAAAACTACAAAAATGTTGCAAAACTACAAAATAATTTATAAAGATATTAAAAATGAATAAAAACACTCTTAATTAGATAAATATTGGAATTTATTAATTCATATTACGGTAATTATTAAATATATTTGTCATAATTACTTAGTGATGAAATATTAGAAAATTACGGTAATATAATTGATTTATTTTAAATATAACTACTAAATAATCTTATTTATAAACTTACCGGTAATTATTCAAAATTAAATAATGTATAGTATAAAAGTAATCTAATTTTTTTAATTAAAAACTTATTGATATTTATAATTTACAAATCATATAATCTATTATAAATTATAAATAAAACGACAATTAAATTATCTAAAATATAAATAATAGACAACTCATGTCGAGACTTGATTTTGTTCTTTCAAAAGGTTAAGTGTTTCTATTGTGGGATCAATTAGTTGTGTCATCATTGTGTTGACCACTTCATCAGCACTGATGCGATCATTCATTTGAAGATAGAGTTGAATCAAAATTCTGTACAATTTTTCTCTGTCTAATCCTTGTATCGATGAAGTGATTGAAATAAATCGCTTCAATTCTTGTGGCTTCCGGTCTCTGACAAACTTATCGCATAAGAATTCAATCGACTCTTGAGTTAAACCCTTTGCATTGTCAATGTGACGACGAGCTTCTTGTGTCATACCATTGTAGATATAAGCGGCTGATAAATCCAGAAGTGTGTTATTGCGACCATAAATATTGAGAGTCTTATTGATAACTGTCTCCAAATTTGTCTTTTGGTTTAATTCAATGAAGATTCTCATCAGTTCCAGACTCCACGTACAGACACGATAATTGTCAGCAATAAAAACAAACTCTTCCAAAGCTTTGTCGTATTCTTTATTAATTAAATGCATTTTAATGAGTGGTCCGGCAATCATTTTGGTCACTTTGGCTGAACTGATCTCAATGCACATATAAAACACATTTTTAACCACTTTTGTGTCCAATCGTTTGTCAATCAAAGCGTTTAACAATCGATTAATTGATTGATCAGTAAATTTGTCAAAACCTTTTGTTTCGACAATTCTTCGATTTATTTGTCGACCAAAGCGACGATTTTTTTCGTCACCAATCAATTCAATTGCATCATCAATGCGACCATTTTTGACCAAAAGTGTGGCCAAATTAAACACTTTAAATGAATCTAACGAAAAGGTTTTTGTTATTTTAGACTTTATATCTAAAGCCGACTGTAAATCGTGTGAATTGGTGTAAAACTCAAGCAATGAGGCCATCATAGCATCAGATATTAAATGGTTTTTATTATTGAGATCATTGATGATGTCTTTGACGCGAACAGCAATCTTATCGTTAGTGTCGTCGCCTTCAGTCGTTAAGAAGTGTGATCGACGGCAGTACTGAAACAATAGTTTACGCAATACTTCATATGTCTGTTCCCCACAACTCTTGAGTCGAGTCAACTCATTCTCCAAATTTTGTGTCACATCTGAGTCAAAGACATTTCCTTTGGACACATTTTTTCGCCGATTTTCATCTAAATTGAAACAAAATATGATTTCAATTGGTTTATCATTGAGAAGATCAGTGATATATCAAAACTTACGATATATTTGTTGACAACTTGTAGTTGATATCAATCTTGAATGAAGTAAATGACATTTGTTTGTAATCCTTAAGGCATTACAGAAACCGTCAGTCAATGTCTTCAGTGATATCATTGTTTGAAATCAATTATAAAAACAATTAAATCAATGAATAAATCAATTGAAATGAATTATTTAAAACATTCACACAATCAGTACATGTGTTTAATACAGACATCAATTACGATAACATTTGTGTTGTTTATACGTATAACAGAATATTTTACAGAATTTCTAATTAAATATAACTGTAAATACATTTGAAATTAAAAATTATTTTAAAATAATAAATTTAAAGTTAATTTTGTTGTTAAACTGAAAATTTCTTTAAAATATAGTTTTGATATTAAAAATTAACACAAATAAATGAATATAATATTTTATGTGTGTGTTATGGGATTAATCCTAAGTTAGCTTAAATTAGATTGAAATCTTACAAAAAAAATCTACATTTATTTGGTTTGACTTATTGGATATACATTACATTAATATAAAATTATAACAAAACAATTATTGTGATCTAAACTCAATTAAAATGATTCTACAAAATTTATTTTACAAAAATTAAACAAAATTATTAATTATAAATATTTTTAAAAAATAGCACAAAATATTTAAAATATATACCAATTTATCAATTCTAATCAGTTAAATCAATAGCATATAAATTTTATTAGTATTACATATTAACATTTGAAACAATTACTAAAATAATGACATAACGTGAATTCAAGTTATTAACAGCTAAATTCTTATAATTTTTAAAACATTAGAAAGTTTGAAAAAGTGATGTACAAAATGTTTGTTAAAAATATATTCAAATGTTTGTCAATTATAATGATAATGATTACCACAAATACATCTTTTCCATTACAAGATATTTTATGTTTTAAGCCTTCATTTACATCAATTACTCCCATATCACACAATAATTCTTATTTTATGGTCAGTAATGACGGCTATTATTGGAGTTCTTTAACTGACGATTCTGTGTTCAAAAGTGAGGCCCAAATGAAAGAAAAGGGTTATTATTCTGGAAAAGTGGATACAATCGACATCGATGTCATACAAGTCGATAATATTTCCATTTCGAAAACATTTGACTTAACCTTTAGAATCAATTTCAACGGTATTTGTAATCTCGAATCGGAAACACTTTTCGCTACAAAAGTATAGTTGAATGTCAACCAATTCATAGTAATAATTCATAATTGTATTTATCTATAGTTGTTTGGATATACTAATTGGTTTGGTTATAAATATATCAATAATAAGTGGACAAAATTGTCCGACAAAACACTGCATCCGGTGATCAATAGGGCTATGGATGCACTCAAACCCAACCGACGGATAAAAGCTGTTCTAAATTTTGACTTATTTGGGGTACTATTCATTCAAGGCTTGTATTCTAAACTATATTATTATTTTTGATATCGTAATTAAATTTTAAATTTGTTTATCTGATAATACAGACAATAATCTTATATTTATTTCATGCGATAAGAAGAACAACTGGTATATAAATGACAATATAATAGAGTTTTCCAATAATTCAAAGCCCTTTTTGGGTGACATTTTTGGTGGTTTTGTAAACATCGATACGAAAAAGTTTTATCTATTTGTCGCACAACTCAGCTCTTCTGGCATTTATGTCCGCAAAGCTTTCCATGAATGTAATTATAAGGTAAAACTTGTTTAACAATTAAATCATATTTTAATATTTTAGTCATCAAATAATTAATAATAATAGTCTTCTAATTATTCAATTTAGACGAATACAAAGCCAAAGAAACTATTGATTGATTGTCAAAAATTTTATTATAAGGATATTTGTTACAAGAAATCGAAGAATTTGCTCTATTATATCATCGGAGGCTCATTAGTGGCCATTTTATTGACTATTATATTAGTTTTGATAGTCATCTATATATGTAGAAGTTGTTGTCGTCAGAGGAAGTATGTGTCGGACAGTAAAACATTGTTAACAACTCAACAATCGAGTGGACGAATAAGTCTTTCCCGAAAACGAGTAATCGGTAAAACAGATGAGTCCTCTTTAGCTCAACAGAGGACACAAAGCTTTACAAAGAAATCACACATTAAATTGTAATTAAGTTATAAACTAATATTGCTTTTTGTCTCAAAGTTTATAATAAGCAGTTTTAATGTTATTTTTATTATAAATTATTATTTTCATTTTAAACCAATTCAATTTATTATTATTATATAGTAAATTATATAATAAATACATATCTATTATATTGTAATTAATTAAAGATAAATAAATTTGTTTTAATACTTATAATTTTTAAAACATGTATGACAAAAAGTTTAAACTTAATTGAAAAAAATTATTTAAATAATTTAAAAATTAATGTAAAAAATTACATTAATAAAGCCTCTATATTTTTAAGTCTACGACTTTTTAAGTTAAAATTTTATTTAAAACCAGTTAAGCGTCTAAAAGTTTAGCAATAAAAACTTCTAAAAAATTATATATTTTATCATAATTATTGTGTCTGAACTGTTAATATTTTTACCCCATCACTTATTGCAAGCCCACTAACCCACTCACCCACTCATATGCTCCTCCTAATAAATTATGCTCCAGTAGCACATCGTTAATAATATTTTTTTTCGCTATATTAAAATAAAAACTTAATTAATTTAACAAATAAATTTTTATTGTATCTTATAATAGTCAATATAGAAATAAGTTTAATGTAAGTATTATATAACACGTATTAAATAACATATAATATATTTTTGAATACAATAATCCCTATATTATTCACGTAATATATTTTAGTCGATATATTTTGTGTTTATGTCTGAGAAGGGAGTTGTCCTCACATCACATGCTATACTAAAAACCAAAATCACTGGTTTTAATGCTAAATAAATGATTACTCAAACTATTACACTATAAATATACTGTATATAACTTAATGACAAAAATATAATAATAAAATATATAATAAAATCATACTATCGATTAGTTAGCAATTGTGTCTTACATACAGATTATGTAATATATCGATAATTTTTGGTTAAAGACTGTTTGTGTGTCGACTCATCGTATATATTGTGAGTCTAAACTTAAAAAACTTGTTTTTATACTTTCATTTCTAAATTTACTAATAATTTTTCATTTCAATGGTTTATTACAATTTTAATATTTGCTTTTATAAAATATATAACTTTATCAAAAAATTATTGTAGTAATTTCACTTTTAATTCTACCTTAATATACTATATATAAAATAATTAATATTAAAGAATATTCTTAACAAAAATGTTATCTAAAAAGACTATAATAATTACATCAATTATATTAACAATTATATCGCTAATGTTAGCCATCTCTTACATCAATGTGATTGAAACACCCGATAATGACATATTACACACCGTTTCAAAAGTGTTAAACATAACTCTTGTGATTTTATTAATAATTGGTTTAATAATTGGTTCAATGATTTACTATTACTATATTATACACATCGATGGTCTCTGCAAACAATGTTATGTGAATTTGAGTGTATTTTGTGGATCAATATTCGTAATGATTGTGTTCAGCATTTCAGCAAATCTGGTCTCATATAGGAAGGACCCGAACGACAATCACTTAGTGTTGACTTTAATAAACTTTTTCCTATTGTTGGTTGTATTGGTCAGTACAGTGGCCGGAGTGCTAATGCTTACCATCTTCATCATGAGTTTCTTCTGGTGCTTCCAGATTAGGGCTAAACGTATGTTAAGTCAACCGCCAAATATTTAAACAAAACTATATTATTAACATAAATACTTAAAAAATGATTGTAACTATAGTTGAATTAGTACTTTATTATCTTATTGACTTAATTACCGTAGATTAATATACAAAATTTAATAATTTAAGTTACTATAACAAAATTAGTAAATTATCTAGATCAATTTGTAATAGCACCATTATATTACAAATAGAGGAATTTATTTATAATTACATAGTAACTTATTTTAGCGCAAACTAAATAATAAATAAACTTTTAATTATCTTTAGCTATTTTTTGCATACAATATCTTTAAAAAAAGTTAATAAAATAATTTTACTCATTTTATGATACTTATGTAATAAAACATATACTGTATATATATTTCTGATTTAATGATAAATTTTTAGGATAAAACATTTATATAATAATTATTATATAAATAAATGAATTGCAAAATTCTATAATAATTATTTTTTTGTATATAAATATTTTAAAGTTGTAAAAATTATTTTATTTATTTAAATAAAGTTGTAAAACTGTTAACATTTTATTTTCAAGTAAAGCAAACTTGTTATCAATAGATTTATCTAAATTTGCAAACTTTTGGTCAATATATTCATATAAATGACTCGAGTTTTGTTGTGTCAAACAATTCATATGACAATCACAAAGACAACACTTTTGATTGTTTATTATTTTATCGCTTGTATTATCTCCAGAAGCAGGTGTTATGATTGGTTGTCCATTATTATCGTTATTTAAAATACTACAAGTTTTTACGTCTTTTTCATCACTAATCTTATCATTGGTTGTGAGTTTCACGAGTTTTGAGATCAAATCAGTGTTCAATGAATCATTGGATGGTTTTATTGTATTACTAAACATGGATAACATGGTAGCTATTGGTACCACATTAAGACAAGTATTAGATGTCATCATTGGTGTAGTAGTTTCCTTCACTTTGCAAAGATTGACAACCAATCCATAGACCCATAAGTCGTCAAAATTTTTGAATGTCAACGATATATGTTTTTGTGGTAATTTAAAATTATGATCACATCTTAACATCTTTAAGCCACCAAATTCATCAATAAATCTAATAATCAATTAAATCATTACTTTATTAGTTGTTGTTATCCATCGATGTCTTACTTATTAAAAATAGTTTCCATATATTCATTGGTATTGTTGTCGTGAACTTCAATCACTTTTGCTGAACATAACATCGACAACGAACTAATTCTTGTGGTTAACCGGTCATTGTCTTCATTGTCATCAATGGCTTTAATAAATAGTTTGCATTCATCCATGTCTTTAGCCAACAGTTGAATACAATTGTCATAACTTTCTAAAAGTGTTTCAATATCTTCATTGTTGTCTTCATCTATGATAACAAATGTGAAAAATTGGTTATAAAATGTCATCAATTGATTGTGTCTTTTATTACCACAATTATTGTCATTAAATCTGACATAAAGTGATGAAGTGATGGGTTTAGTGGACAACCAATTACTGGATATGTTTATTGAGTTCATTATTCAGTCAAATAATGTAATTAACATTTAATTCAAAAAACAATTAAATATTATTTCAAAATTCAATTCAATTGACTTTCAATTTAATATTTTTATCAATATTTTCAGTCAATAATAATACATAAATAACGTAATCATTAGTGAAACTATTGAAACAAAATTTATAAATAAGTTATTTATTTTATTTTATAATTAATTTATTTTATTTTATAATTAATTTATTTTATTTTATAATTAATTTATTTTATTTTATAATTAATTTATTTTATTTTATAATTAATTTATTTTATTTTATAATTAATTTATTTTATTTTATAATTAATTTATTTTATTTTATAATTAATTTATTTTATTTTATAATTAATTAATTTAAAAAATTATATCAAAAATATTACAAATGTTTATATAAGTTATAATGAGTACAATATTTTTATGTAAATTTATATAATCCAAATATAAATTATCTATTTAATTATATTACTATAATATTAATAAATTAAAATTAAACTTTAAATATAAATCTTTAAAAACATATAATAAAATAATTCAATATTTAAAATCTTTTTTCTTATTTATATAAAACTATTAATATTAATATATATTTTTATAAAAAAATATTAATCAAAATTTATGTACAAAAGAATTATAAAATATTTGTTCAATAACTTCAAAAAAGTTTGTTATATTAAGATATTTTCGTTAAAAAAACTTTTAAATATTGATCTCTTATTGATTGTCAATAGGTTTGATGACAAACAAAATAACGACAAATAGTAGGACACTGGCGGAGAAAAAGACAATTTCAAACTCTAGTAAAATGAATGAACTGTTCTCCAGAAAAGGTCCCAAAATGAATGGCGTAAACAATGTTAGCGAAGCACTCGAGAAGA